GGTACATGAGATTTTTTCAAAATGTTAATTTAAAAGTGCATAAATCCTAAAATATTTATAATAAGTCTAATGAAAAATGTAATGTTCCTAAAACGTCTGGAAAAGAGATCCCAAGTAAGGCACAAACTGTGCTGTATTGTACCTCTTTATACAGGATTTTTTTATCTGCCAAAAATGTTTTGCTCTGGTCAAAAATATGTTGAAAGAGGTACCTTATTAAAAAAAAACAATTTGAGAACCCCTGTGCTAAGCTATGCTAACTGCCTGCCGTCTCCAGCTACACATACAGGTATGACAATGGTATCAATCCTCTCATCTAAGTCTCAGCACAAAACATCGCACATCCTGGAGGAAGCCCCGCCCGCATTAAACTAGTGAGAAGAGCACAGAAAAAAACTGTAATGTGTTACCTAAAATAACCAAAACAGTTTTAACGTTGGTAAAAAAAGTGCGTTACGGTAGGATCCCATTATCCGTACTGCATTAATATAGTATGGGTAATCCTCAGGCTGTTGAAGTGCCCATGAGCAAAACAGCTATAAGTCAGCTGATTCTTTACACTAATGTATTCACATGGTTATACCAGGGATATCCTAGAGGGTAAAACCATGAAACTACATCTACATAAGTTTATAATTTTCAGAATAGTGTTTAGTGACATTTATAGGCCGTTCTGATATGTTGTTTGAAATTTCTAAAAAGTACTATGTATGTGTTTTTAAATGAAATGAAACTGTATGATAATCATAGTTTAGTATCTATATTTATACTTTATGGTATAAAGCTAGATCCTAAACTATGATGTGTGTCTGTGTGTGTGTGTGTGTGCGTAACCACTGAATCACTGGCTATGTAACTGTATGATACATAAATATGACTCTGAATCACAGAATTGTATATCTCTTGTCTTACTTAAGGTTCGACCTCAAACCTCCCTTTCGTCCAAATTTAGCAGGGGTCCGGCGGTAAAGATACCACAACAGATCTTTCATCTCCAACACTCATGCTTGGTTACTGTTGCTATGCATGGTGGATCGTTGCCGTCACCGGTGCATCCAATAGGCATGTCGGCGCAGCCAGGGAGTCTAAAAACAGCATTCTATATTACAGCATATAATGAGAGAGGCTTCATCAGTGCTCTCTCCAAATGTCAGAGCAGCTTTAATGATCTACTGAACACACACACACACACACACGAACACGCACACACACATACACACACACACGCACACGCACACAGAAGCTATCTATCATGTGTGAGTGTGCATGCAGTCACAGTGTGTGGCTCTTTTCAGCATTGTTGGCATTTTCAGTAATCCCACCTTTCTTTATTTTCCTCTCTGCTATTAATTCTCTCCACTAAAGCTATTCATTCTTTCCATCCCCACCACTTCTGTCTTTTCTTTCCTCCATCCTAATCTTCTTCTCTGTGACTTGATCTTGCCATATCATGATTATCAGAAGTAGCTTCGACCAATACCTGTTGTTTTCATACGCACATTGTTAAGTTTTGAGTGTGTGTGTAAACAGCCTTGTAGCACACAAAGACCAAGAAACCCTCTCCTCTAGCATGGTAAAGCACAACAGCTTATGTAATGTTGTTATTTTAGCTGCTCAAACAGCATATATGTCAGACTACCTCTAATTACTTCCTCCAGGATGTGTGTGTATTTGATGTTAACACTGTATAACAAAGTTAGTTCAGCAGAGGGAGAGGAGAAAATATGCTAAATAATTTAGATGGGATGGAACCGGGAATAGAGATAAGAGTTGTGAGATAAAGATGGACAGAGGCCAAAAGAACTGGGGAACTACTAGAAAAGGAAAAATGAGAGTGATTTGAAAAAGTAGATCAAGCAAATAAAATAAAAGAGTGTATGTATAGGAAAGGGGGGCAGGGGGGGGGGCAAGGATGTGAACCAGCAAGCAAACAAAGAGCTGGAGATAAAGAGCAGTAACAAAAAAAGAAAGCAGTGTTGGAGAGATAAGATTTGAAGATGGAGAGAGAGGAGAAGAAGTGGCGGCTGATTAAGGCGTGAGCCTCATGGAGGGGACAATACGAGCGAAGAAAGACACACACAGAGAGGGGAAAGGCTTATGAGCGAACACGCCGGCCGGGGCTCTTGGTGCAATGCAGACGGCATTGCCATGGAAACGAATGGAGGGAAAGCGCAGACGAGGAGGAGGGGATTAAATAGGAAGGAAGAGATCACTGCTGGGGGGATGGTGGGGGGGGGCTGTTTTGATGAGAGGGGAAGGGCCGGCTCACAAATGAGTAACAAGTATGGATACGAAGTTAAATGAATAGCTACTGGATAGTTCAAAGTTGGGTTTATACAGTAGTAGAGATGTCCCACTTGTGTGTGCTGTATGATTTCACTCACATTTTGACTGATTCCCCCTCATCATTTGACCGTCATGATACGTGAGTCACTTGTAACCTAATTATGTTTAAATAATCTTTAAACGCTGTATTCTTGACCAGCAGTCAGCAAGTAATACCACCCGTCTGCTTCAATTACGAGCAAGACAGAGTTTGGGTTACTGTTGCAGGGATGGTGTTGGTCCTCTGTCTCAGCTAAGTGCAGTGAATTTCATTGAAATGTTGCTTCAATTTTTTTTTTTTTTTAAAGTAATGGGAGACGAGCCTGTCGCCATGGCGCCAGTTGTCTCAGGTGGCATTGTCTGCGTCCAGATCTGAGGGCGGGGGTTGTCATGGCAGCAGGAGTACATGGCGTTTGTCTGGGTGTGATGCTGCAAACACACATACACAAACTCTCTCTCTCACACACATACACACACACACACACTGTCGGAAATATTCTTGACTGCATGATTATAAATAGAAGGCAGCAGAAGGCAGCACCCCTCTCCCCATCTCTAACACCCGTGGGACCCCATCCTTCTCATCTTCCTCTTCACCCATTTTCTCTCTGCACTTACTTCTACTTTTGCTCTCTCTTCTGTTTCATCCCTCGTTCTAAGCCCCCCCTCCTCTCGTTAAATCTCCTCTTTTCAGCCCCCCGAAGTCTCATCAAGTGGCTTTGTTTGCTATCTGTTTATCTCCATAGTGATGGTGATGATGCAAGGTGTCTGTGGTTGTCATGGCAATGAGATGGGCACAGTGAGGGTGCTTAATGAGCTTGGAGTTGCTCAGGCTAATGAAGTGGGACGGCTGTACCTGGGTGTGCGCTTAACTGGCAGCAATGAGCAACCGCTTGTTAAAAGTCTTCTTTGGTGACTTCACTGCACCATTCAACTATCTGGGCTCCTATAGAGGAGAGATGTACGAGTTTCTACAGCAACTGCAGTCGTAATGAGCTGCATGGAGGCCGTGCTAAAACAAGAAGCTAATCAGGTCGTTCCTCTTGTTGTTGCTTTGTGATTTACTTCCAAATGAACTATTTTAAGGGGAGAACTTAAATGCGTCTATAAAAGGTTTAGGCGTTTTCAGGAATTTAAATCCCTGCCAGCCTAGAAAGCCCCGGTCTAAGGGAAGTCCCAGCAATTAGACTTTGTAGAGGCCTTTTATAAAGCAAGCTCTGCCGACACAACGACTCACAGCAGCTTTCTCATCCTCCTGTCTGACTAAACTGTCACCCTCACCCCTCACGTGCAGACGCTGTGTGCGTGAGTGTAAATGTTGCACTCAGGTGTGAATGTACAGACACTAGTGCTGTCAAGTGTCAGCATTGACGTTTATGTGAGTGCGTGCACGTGTCTTTATAGATCATAGCTTTGGGACTTTTTATATTGCTTTATTGTTTACAGTCATGGACCTTCCTTGCTTTGTTTGACCAGCAGTGCAAGATATTCAGTTTAATATCATATATGACAAAGAAAAGCAGCAAATCCTCACCTTTAAAAAAACAGATTGTGTGTTCGTGTCTGTGTAAAAACGCCCTGATGTGCATTGGTGAGATGTTAGCCTGCATTGCTTCTTTGGACCCTGACAACTCTGGGTAATGTTGCGAGGATAGAGAGACAAAGATCTGAGTGACAGAAGGGATGATGGGACGGGTTATCTGCTAAAACTGCGTGAGTGCACAACTTCACATGTCATAGCCTGAATTGCTTCCACTGCGCCCTACTACTTTGAACTCAGCATGTCAAGTCACACAGAGATACAGTGTGTCATTACAGGGGATGATGCCCTGAAAGCTTCTTCCGGGGTTAGCGGCTCTTCAGATCGCTTAACGTTCTCCTAGCGTCAGCAGAGCTGTAAAGCCTAAATACCTTTCACTCCCCCCGCCTGAAATACGCTTTCATCCCCCGTCCCCCCTTTCCCGCTCCCCCTTCCTCCCTCCCTAGCTCGCCTCCCTGACTTTCTTTGTACTCCGCCACTCACAACATTCCTCAAGCTGACAATTTGTGTGTGTTTCTACCTCGCAAGCCAGGGCTCAGGAGTCCCCCTAAAAGCTTACTGCCCCCGACTCACAGCCGCCACTGTAAAATGTGTTAAAATAGGCCGTAGTAATATCTGCGAACTGGAGAGATTTTCCAATAGTGTGGGGACGTCCCAGTGGAAATTAGGTGAGATTGCCTTCTCGCCTGAGTGAACTTGCTTCAAAATAAATAGTGGAGAAATGGGTGCTCTCAAGCCTGAATTCATCCTTATTTCTATTGAGGAGCTTTAAAAAAGCAAACAGCAAGGATATTTTTTGTGCAGCCCCTCTCATATGAAAAAGTTTGCGGAAACATCCATCCTCTGTTTCAGATGTTTTTTTTATAACTCTGGAAGTAAGAAAACTTCTCTTGAAGGAAGGAAACATTTACTTTTAATTCAACATCTGCAGAGCAAGATATGTAGGGGTTCAGAACTTTTCGTAACACTGGTTTGCACCTAAGCGTACAGGCTTATCGTGCAGGTGTTGGTACTGTGTAATACCTGACTTCCTTATCAGACAGCTCTACAACTTCCTCTGATTATGATGCTTAGTTGATTATCCTGCTAAAATGAGGCCACTTAAAGCAGGAGCTCTGTGACCTCTGTTTTCCAGAAGGTGGAACCAAGAAGCTTCGCAGCACCATCCGACGGAGCACAGAGACCGGCATCGCAGTGGAGATGAGGAATCGAGTGACACGGCAGGGCAGCAAGGAATCAACTGACGGCAGCACCAACTCTAACAGCTCTGATGGAACGTGAGTATCCAGCCTGCAGTTCCTCCATCCACCCATCCATATACGGGATCCATCCATCATTATTCTGTTTCCTCTCTCGCAGGTTTGTCTTCCCTACTACACGCCTGGGGCCTGAGAGCCAGTTCAGTGACTTTCTGGATGGACTAGGCCCTGCTCAGATTGTAGGCCGGCAAACACTAGCTACACCCCCCATGGGTAAGGAATGAAGACCAACTACGCCATCTTTTTCCTGTTCAGCTCCTGTCCAATATTGTTTAAATCATTCTCAGATTTCATGAGATTCTTTGAGCTCATGTCAGAGCAAATTTTAGGTCGGTTTAACAACGACAAAACAGCATACCACATATATGTAGCAATCAGACAATCATAGGTCATTAAAAGTGTAATAAATACACTACATATTGTTGCACTGTAAGATGACAGAGAATGTGATTAAACAATCTACAGCCATATGTCAACGTACAAACTGTCAGATGCACAGCAGCTTCTAAAAATACTGCACAGTACTAGCGTATTCACTCAGCACGCATTAAATTATTCTTGCATGAGGTATAAATCTTTCATGCAAAGGTCATTGCTTGTGAAAAACAGCAGAACAGAGCACTGTACTCCACCATACCTGTTTGAGAAGACTCACAGCTTTGTGTCGCCCTCTGCAGTTAGATATCAGTCACTGCAACGCCAGTGAACCATAAGCATTGGTTTAGCGAGTGCCACAGGATTGAAGGTTTTTGGGTCTGATTATGTAGGATTCTATTGGATCGCTAGAGATGGTATCTTTTCTTTCCCTCTACAGGGGATGTCCATGTAGGCATGGTTGACAGAGGAGGGCAGCTGGAGGTGGAGGTCAATCAGGCCAGAGGGTTGACCCCCAAACCGGGCTCCAAGAGCATACCAGGTACTCTGAACTGACTTCACCCACTGTATTAAACGTCTGTTGACTTAGCTCCTTAGCTCCCATGTAGGAGTTTTACTGAGTTGTGAGTTGTTGCTTTGTCCGCAGCGACCTACGTGAAGGTGTACGTGCTGGAGAATGGCATGTGCTTGGCCAAGAAGAAAACCAAAGTAGTGAAGAAGAATCTGGACCCCACCTACCAGCAGGCTCTGTTGTTTGATGAGAGTCCTCAGGGTAAAGTGCTACAGGTATGTGATTTATTTTCCTTTGCCCACTTTATAATTTTATTTTTGCTGCTGATCACACCAATACACAAGCTTAACAATAATAAATGTCCACCCTAAAATATGTTTTCTCATTTGTCAAAAGATCTTCCAGTGCCTCTGAGAGAATTTAATATCCTGTCGAAAAAACTGACATGCTTGAAGGATTGTAGTGTAATTACATTTTCTTTCAGAGTTATGTACCTAGTTTTTCCTTGTTTCAAGACAAACAATACTGCATTGGAAGCAAAATCCCTGAAAATTAGTACAGTAACTTATATGTTACTTCTTACTATTTGTAACATTAAAGATTTGTGACTAAATAAGCAACATTCAAAGCTAAAAAATATCTTCAGGTTTTTATAAGAATGTATCACTAAAAAAGACTGTTGTTTTGGTGTGTTTGCATTTGATTGACAAATGTTACTAACTTCTGATTGGTGCACAGTATGTCAATCAGAAGACCTTTTTCAAAACAAGCCCATCCACTTCAAACTTGTGAGAAGAACACAGAAACAACAAGAAATCTGTTTTCATGTACGACCCTATTACTCGTATGAAGTTTACAGGGCCTTTAAAATATGTAAACATGTATATTGTCATATGGTCTATTTGGCATATGCCCATATTTGTGTCTCATCTCTCCTCTAGGTAATAGTGTGGGGAGATTATGGGCGTATGGACCACAAGTGCTTCATGGGAATGGCCCAGATCCTTTTGGAGGACTTGGACCTGTCTGCCACGGTCAGTGGCTGGTACAAGCTGTTCCCTACCTCCTCTCTGGCAGATCCTAGCATCGGACCCCTCACCAGACGCCTCTCCCAGTCCTCCCTGGAGAGCGCCACCAGCCCCTCGTGCACCTAGACACCCAGTAGACACCCACAGGCACAGGCAGAGTCATGCAGACATGGACACACGTACTGTATATACACAACGACTGTATTTGAAGAAGACAGGTAGACATACACACACACATATACAGTATACCCATGTACATCTGTGCAGGAAGACACATTTGACATACATATCTCATCCACATGAATACACACAGTGACATGCTGCCATATCTGATACTGGACATTACCCATGACGTCCATATTCTCACCCAAGGATCAGTGTTTTTTAGTTGAAAAAGAAAAAAAAAACATTTAGTAAATCCAACTTGAAGTACACATAATTTACCAGAACATGTAGCATTTTTCACCCTCCCATTTCAACGTTTCCCACCATGACACAATGACCCACCGGGTGCCATATTCTGCATTCCAAGGTACCATATTTCCATGCACAACTCATCCCAAGGCCATCCCGATGCCAGTTTCTAAACTCTCTATGCCAAACTAAGAAAAAAACACTTTATTTTTTAAAACCAAAGCAATTGTTATTGTTGTTATTATTACTATAAGTAGTAGGTGAACTAGTATACAATATAAAGTATGGATATGTAGCAGAGTCAATGACTTAGATGTAATGCAAAAAAAGAAGATACATTCTACACACACGAGCAGAGAACAGTAGGCCAAACACATAAACGTACCTGGGCAACAGGCTTGGATATTCACATAATGGCTATTATGTGAGGTAGCAACACTGCTATTCTATAATTTTCCCAGGGCAGAGTTTATATATAGATATACATATATATATATATAAATAGATAGTTAAATACTTATTTGTGTTTATGTATGTATTGGCTGCATTCTGCATGTTTGCTTGCAACCCTTGTAGAGAAATTTTAAAGTGCTTAAATCTTTTTATTTAGCTTGACCAATGTAACGGGAGTAATAGTGCCGCTTTATTTTGCAGTCCGTCCTGAGAAAAGAGCACTGCACTGAGTTAGGGAGAAAGATTGGGGTGATGGGGGAAGAGCGCTATCATCGCCATCTGCAGAAGAAGAGAGCAAATTAGTCAGCCAGCTACTCATTCGCTGATGAACACATTTCTAATCCTGCCTTCGTCTTTAGAGCATAAAAAGGACTGTTGTACCGCACAGGGCACTCAGCACAAAACGCGTTCTGGGAAATGTGTCCTGCTTCTTGTCTGGGGTTCTTGTGCTTCTCATTTAGGGGGCGCCACAGTCTCACTCTCTCTCCGTATATACCAGCACCTAGACTTGTTTGAACTTACTGTTGATCCCTCCCCGCCCCCCGTTGCGATGTCATCTTTTTTTACACTCTCAAGTCTCTCACACAGGCAAACATGCGCACAGCTGGTACTACAACCTTTAACCGTACTACTTTCTCTATTGGTCACACCGACTGTAACTTGTTGTAAATGTGTAAACTTGTATTTCAAGTTTTTTTTTTTTTTTTTGATATCTGACTATTTATGCCAGTATTACTTTGCTAGCAGGGTGATTGTTAACCTGCCATGTACGGTAGTTTTACTTGTTTCAGGTGCAATATGTCACTCTTCATATTTCCTGTCAGGCAGTGTGTTTGTGTTGAAGATGGCACTTTACTGTAAAATATGTATTATGTTTGAATTACAAATGTGCAGTGGTTGACCACCTGTTTTATTTATTTAAATTTTATTTGGTCACACTGCAGCATTCACATCTGAATCTTTTAATTGAATGCCAGCATGGAAATGTAACTTTTTATGAGTCTATTTTGAATTTGAGGCCCACTAGGACAGCTGAAACAGGTCAGTTCTCTCACTGATGTTAAACCTAAATCACATTTAGATCTTAAAAAAACGTATGACTTTTGGCCTTTTTCTTGCATTTGAAAACACATACAATGTGAGACTAACCTGTCGGCTGTTCAAGTAAAATGTGCAATGATTGAGATTTCATTGATGGCAAAGGAGCAGCAGAGCAAACTGAGCTACTGGTGTTTACTGTTTTCTTTAAGATGATAATTATCATCTTTTTCTTCAGTGGCTTTTGAATTAGTCTGTCTTGAGACCATCACCAAACCATGTTTATGGATAAAGACAGTAGAGTTTCAGTAGTATTAGGGGATATGACAGTCTCAATCTATAGGCTATTAAAAGCTTTTGTTTGTTTACGAGCTCAGATCTGGTTTTATCACCACCATATGTCCTGTCGTCTGTTAAGGACTGTGTAGCTCAATCTTATCGTCATCTTTCTACAAAAAGGGAAACTCTGAGGCATTTTGTCTTCCCGGCATCTCAGATCAACAGAATTCACATTTCAACGCTCTCTGAACTTTGGATAAAGGGATCTCTGGCATTCTTGAATTTCTTTGGGAGGATGGCGATGGTCATTTTTGACCCTCCTATCATGTATACAGGCCTTTTTAGAAGAGCCATCGAGGTCTGGGTTCCAATTTCTTCGTACGTTTTGGAGCTATTCCTTGCTGGGTCTGTATCTGTAATGGTCATGTATATTAAGTAATTTTATGTACCTTATTAATTTGTATCTATCTATTTTTGTGGACAGCTGGCATGATGTAAAAATAAGGACTTATACTCTTGGTATTTGCACACATTCTCTTCGGTGCGCGCCTTTTGTGAAGACAAAAAAAGCTTGGTTGACTAGAGAGAAAATAAATGGAAAAAAAAATAGAAAGAAATCATAAAGAAATCCCTAGACTTGTATAACATCCCTGCTGAATGTTTAGTCCTTGGTAAACTCTTTAAAAATACTGTTAATATTTTTCCATGTGATTTCCAATATTTTGGAGCTTATGAGACTGTATATGTCCCTTTGCCGTATATTAAGTAGCCCTGAACATTAACAGTTCTAATCATTGGAAGTAGAGGAAAAGAGAATGCAAAGAGTTATATAATTATACGATAAGAGGGGTTTTTATTGAGAGCAGAAAGCATTTGCCAAATTTTGATTCCTGCAACCAAAAGGAAAGCTGCAACTTTGCCTTTCTTCAAAGTGTAGTAAGGGTGTATGTCTTTCATTGAGGTGCATTTATTGTACTGCATGATAATGAGTGGGAGGGCAGCAAGATATGAGTGAGTGAGAGATTTCAATGTGCAGATATTTATAAAAACACTCAAGTTGTGGACCACAGTGAAGAGAATTTAAGGATCAGGGTTTTCAGATATGAACATTAACACCTCCCATTGTGGCATTTTACCATAGATTAGAAAGAATTTGCTGTAGTATCACATGATTATCATAGTATTGTCTCGTGGTCATTTTATTTATTTTGACACAGACTCTCCTGTTTTTAAGTGAGTTGAAAAGGGATTCTTATAGAGAGGTTGAAGCCTCACAAGCAGCAGGGAAGAGTCACAGCAGGTCGTCTGAGAGTCTTTGTGGTTTTGTGAACCTGAGTAGACTTGTAAATGTGAAGGTAGATGCATGCAAGCAGGTGAGCAAAATTGTTGGATTTATCAAAGTGTCGATTACAGACGCTTAGGAGCAGTTTATGGGAAACAGCACGGAGCATGTAGAGCTTGGTAAACAATGTTTCAGATAGGTGAAGATAGTATTGGCTTGAGTTAGACCGTATCTCAACATGACTCAGCTGAGGTTTGAATGTAAAGGCTGTGGATGCGTGGAATGTAAACCCATATGCTTGCTTGCTTCCATGTTAAGATCCTCGTTGAGCATTCTCCAACCCAATTTTATTGCAAAACTTTTATAATGTATCTTCAATCAACCTGAATCGTCTCTTGAGTGCTATGTTGAAAATGTATTTTATTTTTGTAAGGAGAGAGGTATTATTGTGAGAAGGAGGAGAGGGAGTCAGAGAAGCGGCGTGGGTAAAACCTGCCTTTAGATTTTCGTGAAAATGAGGGCTTGTTCGGTTTACAATGGCCTTATTTTGTGTAGGAGACATTGCTTCACTATTGTAGCACACAACTGAAAGTTTTGACAAATGTATTTTGCTTGAAATATTGTACTGAAGTTATATATGTGTATATGTATAGTTTTATGAATGTATTTCTTAATCCTTACACCAGAACTGAGTGTAATTTTTTTGTCATCTTGTTTGCTATACCGTCTCTTTGAAGACTTTCCAGGGACTTTGCCTGCATTGGTTCAGGTATCCCCTACTTTTACTGTACTGTATACTGTATGTCTTATTCTTTGTGTGTTAAAAGAACAGCTCTGTGGTTGAAACAAGCATGAACTCTGTCGGGTGAAATGCATTTTTATTTATTTAGATCGCCACGATGGGTTTCCAACAGAAAAGATTGCTATTTCCCCCACTTGCACCGAGTAACTTATCGATTTAGCTTTCAAACTGGTGGAATTGTTCAGATTTTTGTACTTTGAACTCGGAAATGTTTGCAGCATGGTTACTCTGATGATTTTCTTGTATTTAATCTTTATGATGGTATGATTATGGTGATAATAATTATGATAATAACAAATGATGAGTAAGTCAATTTAACCCAGTACACTTTGATTGAGATGCAAACAAATTGTCAAAAACTGCTGTATCTTAAAGTAGCATGGACTTAGCCTTCCATTTTCTGAAGTACTTCTTCTGGCAATAACCATTGGCTGTAGCCTCTACTGTTGCTGGAGCCGTCACTCCTGGCCTCGGCCTCTTTCACACTCATTGTTGGGGTCGTGGCAACCTAATGCTGAATCTGTATCAGCTCACTATAATGACAAATAAGGTAATAGTCGAATCACATTTTCAAACACTAGAAGTAATTTAGACTCAACAGAGCATGCAATGCATTGTGAATAACTGCTATTTTATGATAGCCCTCCATGAGCAACACATTTTGATCTCTTGAGTTTTTCTTCTACTTTCATTTTCTAATGAAGCATGCATTCCATATGTCTGTTTGCCAATGTAGCAGCTGTCAATGAGAACAGAACAGACATTATTTCTGAGCTGATGGGCAAATTGGAGTTTTGCTGCTGAATATGCCAGTTTGTCTTCATCTGTGTCTATAAATGTAATCACAGCACAAGTTTCCTGAGTAGCCATTTTGTCTTTTTAGCTGTCTGTCAGACTATATTAAGGCCACTGTAGCTCCCCTCCCCACTGTCAAGACAACCTTCATTTTATCAAGCCCAGCAAAGCACAAACCTCTTGAATACACCCTGAACTAACAGCTGAATGTGCAACCTCAAAATAAAGTAAATCTTAGAAGGTTTTGATTATATTTAATATTTGTGGACCACAATGACATTCCTTAGCACATATAATAGATTGGCGTCTTGGAATCAAATGTAAAGCTGGATGGGAGCATTAAGACATTCAGCCAAGTTAATCTGGATTGCTGGTGTTGGTAGATGAGCGGTTGTCTTTTCTTAACCGGCCTTAACCTTTTCACAAAGGAGTGTTCACAGAGTATGTTTTTAAGGGCAAAACATAGCAGACTGATGAAAGGATGCAGTTTATGGCTAAGAAGAAAAGGGGAGCTGTAATTTTATACCTGTGCTTTGTAAATGTTTTCTATGTGCAGTATTTGATAATGTAAAACTGGTATTTTTGTGGTTTGTACGCTGCAGAATTGATTACTTAAGGTGCACGTAGTTTTGTAAGAAAATAGAACCAAACTGAGGAAAAAAAGAACAATTTCGGATTCAGAAGCCTGTATTTGCATGCCCTTTGACATCTGGACGCAAAGTCAATAAAGTTTATTTGAATCACAAACGTTTGTCATGTGTGTATTTTAACCTTTTCAGTTCCTTCATTTCATCTTTTAGCTCTGATTGTCTTCACCAACTCCTGAGGAAGAACATTTGCTGCTGTATTCACCAGCAATGTGCTAACTGTCTGTCTGCTGTTTGGTGCTGGGCAGGTAGCGTTCAGCTAACCTGCTGTGGCCAGAAATTATGTTTTGAGAGCCATGAGAGTGAACCAAAGCAGTATATCTGTGGGCCGTAAAACCACCACCGTAAACAATGTGCTGAAAGTTGCTAATAAGGTCTGTAGAGCTGAGATGAACTGCAGAGTCGGGTGATGACTGTTGGTTCGACTCACACATATGATCTATTGATATTATAAAGAATGTGAATAGTCACAATCAAGATTAATAATGGATACAGAGTTTTTGGTGTATCTGACTAAATGTGGGCTTACTACAGCATCATAACTTAACTTTTCTATCATTGAGTAAACTAAGTGATATATTTTATGGATATTTCATATTTCTCTTATGCATAACAACAACAGTACAAAACAACTTAAAAAAAGGAACAATTAAACCTAACAGTAAACACAATAACTAGTGTTTGTGTAGAAGTGTGTGTAAAACAAGAAATGTCGATGAATTTTGAGCAAATTATTTCCTGTGAATATTACATCAGATATGACTGGAACTTTCAATCCAAGTCTCTGATGTGTCTCTGTCTGTATTAGGTATTTATTTCATTTGAAACAATAATATTCTCTATTAAAAATTAATAATAATTCTCTTTTGCCAAATTCATTTTTCTTCTTCCCAAAACTTGGCCATTGTTCTCTGAGCTGTTGGTTGTTTAAACTGCAACTTTCTAATCAGGATGAGGCTGTTTAAGAGAGAGTGACGGCTCTGTGAATGTAGCTTGTGTTCAGGTCTTTAACATTTAGATCTTAAATAATAATCTAAACTTTAAAAATAACTTTTATTTTTTCTTTTCTTTTCTTTACAGAAATGAATGAAATGCTGAGATATAGGCATACTCTGTAGTATATCTGTAGTACAAGTTTTCTTATACCACTAAAAAAACCAGAAGGCCTTGTGTGAAACGTTGGCGACCCCTAGTGGGCATTCTGACCCCCAGGTTGGGAACCATTGACCAGTAACAAGGCAACAGTGAACTCATTACAGCCTGTTTCCTTCTAGAGAATGACACAGAACAATTCTTGACAACCATGACAGCAAGTAGGGCTTCAATCAGTATTTTATCTAGTTAGGAACGGGACTATTGCTTTGACAACCATTCAGCCAAAACAAACAGCGAGCACAATGTCAGCACTTGTGTGGGCCTGCTAGGGTTAAAAATGTTAAACCAATACAAGATGTAGAATTTAATCCAAACAATATTTATTTTGTATATTTTCACAGAGACAGGTATTGTATGTTACATACATATTCTCAAATTTAAGTGACTAACTTGTGTGAACACGAACTCAAAAGGGCCAAAGCATGTGAAAAAAATGCAGAACTAATATACAACACATGTTCATCAATATTGTTTAAGAAACATAATATACAGAGATATTCTGATAAAGAATAAGGTACACAATATCTTGGTCGACAAGTACATAAAAAGATACATTCCTTCATTTGCTCTTATTTCACAGAAAATATACCAGACAAAAAAAGGAACAGATTACAAGCAACCCAAATTTAAAGATAATCTCAAATGAAAAAGCCCATGTGAAGCCTTTATCGCCCACACAGATGGATTGTTACTGCTTTTTCCAGAAACCTCTCTTCGCTAGCTGACAGATCTGCCGTTACAGTACAGAGACGACACATTGTCTGATGGTGGTATTACTCTCAGCAGAGAAGGTGACTGCTGCTGTCACACTGTTGCCTCCGCTGCCACAAAAATGAGCCAAAATTGACAGAAAGACCTGGAAGGAGTAGACGAATTTCTGAGTCGCGAATGCTGTGCTGCTTGTTTATTGGCAGCATTTAATACGAATCCTATATGTTAATTTATTTGTCTTTCAACCCTAACAATTATATTGGCAACTTAACACCGAAGTGCTTCTACAAAAAGAAAAATGGAAAGACTGGAAATATTTACACTAATGACTCCATGCATTTATAAGAATGGACATATTTAGAAACACTTTAAGAGAAATCAGGATGCAGAGATGGTTCGCGTGGGCTTGTGTGGAAGAGAAATAGAAGCGGTCGACGAAAACATTAAGAAGTGACAGATTGTGGTCGTACAATCGCTTTTCGCTTCACATTGTGGTTTGGCCAAATTGTAAACGCCCCCAGAGTGAGCCTGGTCACAGTTTGCTCCTAACTGAACGGTAACATTAAAAACTTTGTTGAATTAAAAACAAGTCACCAAAAATGGACAGGACGCTGTTGACGGAACATTCAAAAGACCCAAGTGTACATTGCTTGACAGAGTCATAGAATATCAAAAAACAATCACACCCCAGCAGTACTCGGGTGTGTGTATTCTAATCAAGTCCGGTACAATCGTGAAACACATTCAGGACACACATTCATTGAGATTTCTTTTTGTAGGTCTTGGTCAGAGACTGGTCGACGGTGTAGACGGAAACATTCAAAGATACACATTCGGATATCTTAATAAACATACAGTACATACAATCAGAGCTAGAAAAAACATTCACCTCATGCAATTCAGTGGAAGAATCTGAAACATGATTCATCTGTACCTTAATGTTTTCTCTGTCCCCACCTCTCTCTCTCTATTTCTCTGTTATTTGCGGACATTCAACATTATTTGAGGCCTCTATTGTACAAGGTAGATTAACTTGAGGTGTGTGAGCGTTAACTCAACATTTACAGGATGACATTGCATGCAAGTGACCTTTTAAGAGTCCCACCCTTGCTGAGGAAATAGCACAGTGAACTGATATTCCCAAACATTCATTGTGTTGAGAGCAGGTACGACCAAACATACTGTTAAAGGACTGCTGAATTGAATTCTCTAATCACTAGTTGAGTGGCTATACAGACAAAGCATTGGAATACTGTACAACCTTAATAAAGCTAGCGTTGATCTTTGGTCTCCCAAAATCCAGTTTAGATGTTGGTTCTAAAAGAAGCCCTCTTTAAATTGAGTAGAAGACATCATAATGAAGGGCTGTTTAGGTTTAGTAGCTGCTCTAACTTGTGAGACAGTGATGATCTAAGAACTTATATAAAGGGATTTGTTATATTTTATTATTATTGTACGGGTAAGATAAGTATTTAGAAAGGATACATCTGTTTATGTAAGATTAGATTTTACAATTTTCCCTACTTACACAGTGTAAGAGAAATTCATTTATGCCTTTCCTCTCTACTTTCAGTTTGAATGTGTTATGTATTAAGAGGCTAGCGTAGCCTAGCTAGACTTTCCTCTCAAAATAAGGGTAAAGCTATTCTAAAATAAAGCTATACCCACAACATTTCTGGTAGAAATCTCTTAACCACTGTGCGCTTGAAAAATAGCTGAAAAACATTCGTAGTTGCCATTTCACAAATATGGTTGCAGCTAAAATCAAGCTAATTTATTGGATATTGTTGTGACTTGTTAAGAGACATTGTTGATGCTGGGTTAAAAGGTTTGACATATTCACTTTCTTTCTAAGAGTTAAATGAGAAGATCGATACCACTCTCAATACTGTACGGGACATATAAAGTCACTGCCAGCAGCCGGTTAGCTTAGCACAAAGACTGGAAACAGAGGGAGACAGCTAGTCTGACTGTCCAAAGGTAACAAAATCTGCCTACCAGCACCTCTAATGCTCATCTCATTTGTTTAATCCATACAAAAGTAGCTTTTGTATGGATGAAATAAACAAGATATAGGCCCCACGGTAATAATAAGCGGTTTAGAGGTTCTGGTAGGTGGATTTGTTACCTTTGGACAGATCTAGGCTAGTTGTTTCCCTGTTTCCCTGTCTTTATGCTAAGCTAAGCTAACTGGCTGCTGGCGGTAGGTTCGTATTTGCTGTACAGTCATAATAGTGGTGTCAATCTTCTCATTTAACTCTTGGCAAAAAAGAAAATATTCCAAAATGTAAACCCTTTAACAAATGATAAAATATTAAACCTTTAGTCTTGCAACAATGCATGTTTCCCCCCCTTTAAGGGGAAATACATCTCATTAAAATACATTCCAGTAGTCAAGCACAACAACCAATTGGGTTGAGCTATGCTAACCTTTGCATTTTGATTCAGATTCTGATCAAGTAAGAAAAACTGTAAAATTCTCCAAAACCAAACTGATCTTTTAAGTCAAGCAGTTAGTTGACACCCACAGACAGCAGATGTGCGCGCACACACTCTCACATACAGGCTAGGTGCGAAGAAAGATCCTAACCAGTGAACCCTGTTGTCTTGGTCGTCATACGAAAATGTTCGGAAGGCAAGCATGGAGATATGCAAAACATGGCCATGGATGAGACGAGAGGAGGAAGTATGGGCAGAGAGGAGAGAGAAAGAGAGGTAGTAGTGGTTTCCCGAACCTTATACTTCTTCACACCTGTCTCCTCCTCCTCTTCCTCCTCCTCCTCCTCCCTTGCATTAGAAAAAGTCTCACGGAGAGTCTGATCCACAGGTTCTCAGTTCCCCTCTCTTTTGTGGGTCATTGGCGTTGCATCACTTCTCGGATAGATGAGATCACTTCCAAACATGTGCGGTCATGTGAGCTGAGCTTGGAGTTGTCGAGCCTCCCATGTGTTGACTGCTGTATCCCATCATGCCGTTGGTGTTATAGAGATTCACGCCGGCCATATGCTGAGTCATCTGAAAGACATGAAACAAATTAACAGCGCTTTTATTACTTTCAAAATGTGTAAGGTCCAAAACAAATACACACACAGGCACACACACACATACGCACACACACCTGGGTAATGTTCCACTGTAGCTGCTGGGCATGTTGAGCTCCATACACCTGCTGATGAGGCAAAGCTCCAACCTGCTGCTGTCCCATCATCCCGTTTTGCTGCTGCTGTCCCATAATGCCATTCTGCTGCTGGACCATCATCCCGCTCTGCGGCTGTCCCATCATCACGCTCTGCTGCTGTCCCATAATGCCATTCTGCTGCTGTCCCATCATCCCATTCTGCTGCTGGACCATCATCCCACTCTGCTGCTGTCCCATCATCCCACTCTGCTGCTGTGCCATCATTCCGCTTTGCTGCTGTCCCATCATGCCCTGGGTCATCCCTGTTATGTAGGATGTCGCCATAACACCACTAGGCTGAGGCATGACACCCTGGGCACCCATTAAGCCATTCTGCTGTCCCATCATGCCGTTCTGTTGAACTCCAATCATGCCGCTTGGTTGCTGTGCCATCATGGCCATCTGTGATGTCATCATGGCGCCTCCCATTCCCCCTGCCTGGGCCAAAGAATGGTATGAACCATACGGGTGTGTCGGGTATCCCATTTGGTTCATGTACAAGCCTGCTGAAAATAATCACAGATAGAAAGCGGCCATTTTGGCAAACGGTAAGCAATGAATAAAACTAATTCTAGGGTCTCTATGATGAAACTGACTCACTAATTAAATGAAGAACTAAGGACACATGAAGTAGAACAGTTCTCACCGTGAGCAGCCATAGCGCTTGTGTGCACTGAGGGGGTGGAGGCGTAAAGGGAGAGAATAGAATCCTTGGAAAGCTTTTTGACAGTGCCTTCCTCTGCTTTGGGTGCCGGATCTAGGAACAGACTGAGGTTTTCAGGCACCGAGGCTGTCACTCTGCTCTGGGGCATGGAGCTGGAAACAGGCTGCAGAGGGAGGGCGACAGGGCGGCATGGATAGAAAGAATCAGAGAGTTGGTGGGAGAAGGATGCGAGACAGTGGGACACAATGAAAGGCACAACTAAAAAGACAGATTTGAACAAGACTAAAGTTTACATGCACGTATGTGACTGTATGAGGCTGTACTGAGGGAAAGTGGTGCGGTCAGCTAAATGCTAGAAGAGTAGTAGTAGAAGGTATTACCGTTTTCAACTTCAGCATTCTAGCATGCTACCAAGTATTTGATTATAATTTGACATTTTGACGTGAAGATGGCGACAGATGAGAAGTCAGGGCATCCATCCTCTGTGGACCATGAACGTCTGTTCAATATTTCATGGCTATCCATCAAAGAGCTGATATTGCATTCTGGACATAGCAACACTGCCGTCCTGACAGTCATGCTGCTTGCATGCTAAAGACATAGGGGTGGCTTACAGTATGTACAGTGTGTTATCTCCTACCGTGGTTTTAGTGGAGGAAGCAGAGGAGGGTGCTGGCAGGGAGCTGAAGAGATCCAGTGCAGAGTGTGCCAGAGCTGGATTAGACACTGCTGGGCTCTCATTACTGTCTGGAACACATCCTCCACCATTAGACACTGCAGGACTTGGAGCAGGAGCATCTAATAGAGGGCAGATGGAAGCTATGATTATGATTCTATAACAATCTCTTTAAGATAAGTTCAATAAAACCTCAAAATGTCAACCGTAAACTTAAGCTACAATTGATATTAACTGATAGTAAAGTAGGATCGATGTTGCTTTCTGGCCTCTCTGGCCTGACATTTGAAAACAACATTATAATACAACATGATATATAATGTGGCTCCATTGTACAGTTCTTAGCATTACATGAATAACAAACAAATAGGTGTTAGTGTGTATGGGGTACAATACCTAATCCAAGCAGGTCTGTAACAGACTGGGAAACTGTCTTTGGGCTGATGTCTTTTTTCTGTCACAACAGAGAAAGTCAATACAATTAATGCAATGTGTCTGCAGTGACAAATGAGCTCGGATCCAAAATCCTTTTTTTCTCTAGACTCCCTGGTGGTGAAATGACCTTCCCACTCTAGTCAAAACAGCAGAGCTCCTCCCAATTCTCCCCTGATGGCTGAAAACTCATCTCTTCAAGATGTACCTCATGTCACCTTCTCCTTCATGTAATGCTGCACTCATTTACTCTGCATAAGAGCATCAGCTGAATGTAAAATGTAATCGAATCTAACAATTTAAGGACAGGAGCAGTTCTACTCTATTAATTCTGCGATACAACCAGCAGGAAATGATGTACTCACCAATTTCATCTTCTCAAACACAACTGGTTCTTTGGGTATATTGTCACAGCTCTTCTCTTTCTGTACAGAGAAAACAAATGGTTTTGTTGAGCAAGCACACACTTTCTCAGACACCTTGCTCAAGAGATATGAGAAAAGGAAGTCTGTTATTTACTGTCCTGTCCACTTTTTGTCTGCCGAACCTATTTGATACTTTTTTTCTGTTTGAGCCTTTGAGCTTATTTTCTGTGTGTGTGTGTGTGTGTGTGTGTGTGTGTGTGAGAAGGCTCACCCTGAGCATCTGGATGTCAATGACCTTATCAATGTACTTCTTCTTATCATACTTGTCCCTGATGAAGATCTCTGCAGACTGGTCTGTCTCGGGGCGCTGGAAGCACTCAGGTAAGAAAGCCTCGTAGAGACGTTTGGCTTTGGCATTTCCCATCTCCTGAACGCACTGGTGACACCGAAACACAACATACCATGTCACATTGTTAAGCAGTCTAATCCATCCAAGGTGCTATTGTGTGTGGTGGGGTCCTGATAAAATAAAACACAGTGAATTCCTTTTGTGGAGGAAAGAGACAAGCATAATGCTGACTTTCTTGCTGATACTGATGATACTGAAGTGTCTACTTATTTTATAAGTGAACATTTAAGTATTAATATTATGCCCTATGACTCTTTTCCTAATCAATCATTTCAGATAAAGCTGCAGCAGCCTGAAAGTTTTTTTTTATTGATTATATATAGAAATATCAAATCAAATAGAAATATTGATCCAAAAAACTGGTTATTTCTGACACAAGGCTTTGTGTATAATTGGTCCAATATAAAAAAAAACACTTAAAATGTCTACTTTCATTGTACCAATTAAATACTTGCCGGCTCCTACTGGTACTTAAATGCAGCTACCGCAAAAGATGCGACTGTGAGGAACGAGGGGGTAACAATTGGACATTTTAGAGGAAAAAATAAATAAATTGGACTCACTAAGACATTAAGGCTTTTCTCTGCTATAACAACTATATCTCAGTAACAGCTTTGCTGTTTCGGGGCACCTAATAACTGGCATTAGCAAAGGGCAAAAGCATTTGTTTTTATTTTACTTCATCCATATTAGTATAAGGAATTCTTTCATTTTTTTCAAAACCTTTACCGGTTTCTATGCGCTTACTCCCTCAAAACTACATAGCTGTACCCCAGCATTGGTGAGGAATGTACCCCACAAATTTAATGTTTTTCAAAAACCCCTCCATCCAAGTTTTTGTTCCAAAGCCCCTTTTGTTACCTTACGATAACCCTTCCATTTTGGCTGCATTTCATAATTATGAAATCCATTATACCATAAAAAATATACAGTATATATAGAATGTATAATTTGTATCTACATTTAAGTACCAGTAAGAGCCAGTAAGTATTTAATTGGTACCTGATTTATTCAAATAAATTACACTGTCAATTGCAGGTGTTTTGAAAGGTCATACACCATTTGTAGAAAAAGCTGTAGTAGGTAATTTTGACAGTCCAGATCTATTATTCTATTCTACTGTGAACCTAATCATGATGTACTGTAATATATTAATATTTTGTGACAGACCATGTACTGTATGTCACACATTAACATGCAGCAAATGTCCCAATCTTGATGTTTGGCTCTGTAGTGTGACCTCTGACCTGGACCTGCTCCTGCGTCCACTGGTCCAGATTGACAGACTTGACCTTGGAGATGTGGACCCCTAGGTTCCGATGGATACCAGCACAGCGGATGCAGATGAAGATGCCCAAATTCCAGGATGCCCATCTTGGACCTGGCAAAGAGAGAAAGGTAGTATTTAATATTTAGAGCAGAGGGTCTTTGGAGGAGGCCAATGAGGTAACTGGGCGACAGAACAAAAAGCAAAGAAAAGAGATGGAGAGTGAACGTAGACGTATAATAGAGAGGTACAATAACCAGGCAAGAGGCTGAAGAATGATGAGGAAAACTCTGATTAATTTTGGTCCAATTATAAAACCTGAAATTCAATTATGAGTTTGAATTCAGCTGGGAACACGTCTAATCCTGTGTAAGTCATGCGGTGTCCTGACACATAATGGGATCCAATAGGAGAGTTAGCCTACATAGATGAGGAGAGAGGGGGAGTAGAAAGTCACAAACACACACACAAGCAGTCACACACACTCAGAGCCTGGATACCTGCAGGGATGATTACTCATTTGGTCATGAGCCTAAGTGTGTGGGTGCTTGGTTATCTGAGTGGGCCATTTTGTCAATCTTACTGCCATATGTACCTCAATGGCTGCATTTGAGTGTAGTGTACCCCATATTCACCCCCATACTTTAGCTTTACATAGTGTTTTGTCTTCTATCTGCAGAGCTGTCGGGATCCTTGCCTGACCATACAACTCTGAGAGGGGGGAAACAAAAACAACACTGTCAGGCTATTTTTCTGCTGAAATTATGCAACCGTCCTCTTCAGAGGATACAGTCAGCTTCAAAGAGAATACTGTTGCTTCTCTCCCCATCTCTCTCTCGTCTTGCCCCTCCTCCTCCATCCGTTCCCGCTCCCCCTCCCTCGCTCCTTTCTCGTCGGGTGAACCACTAGATGCCTCTGCCTCCACCTCTCCCCCTCGTCTCCGTTATGAGCCCTCGCTCGCAACCTTTCTGCAAGATGTCGCCGCACTGTGGCCTTTACACCACTAGGTGGAAGAGCAGCTTTTTGATTTGGATTCCTCGTTGGACTCTCTCTGTCAGCCGGAGTCACCGTGCAGTGTTCAAGAAAGGCCATTCTATGCAAATGAAAGAGGAAGAAGACAAAACATGCAAAGCCTTCCTCTTAACGGCAGCTGCAGAAACAGGGCGTCTGGATGCAGAGTCAAAGAATAGCCCTTTGTCTTGGTTGCATCCTGAACTACGAATGCTTAAGCGGTTATTCTGTTTGTACAATTAGAAGGCAATCATAAGACTGGCTCTGTATTTTTGGACAAGCCGAGTTTGCAGGCTACATTTTCAAATTAGGAAAGGGAAAGACACCAACTGGCAAACATGCAAACAAACGTACAGAGAGCAAACCAGTAAACATAAACAGAGGGTCACCAGACAGACAGAGTATGTCCATCATCCTGACCGTCTGGCTGCAGCATTAGCTCTCATGCCGGCTAATAATAGTAGAATTACTCTGCAAAGCCTGCTTAACCGCTGTAAACATCGGCACTGACACAGAGAAAGAGAGAGATTGTCAATTGTGTTGAACTCCCTTAATGCTGGAATTAGTTCGTCCTCCTCATCCTTACTCTAATGCCCCTCTGTGTCCTGCCTGCCATTTCTTATCTCTTTCATTCACCACTGCTGCCTCCATCCTCTTTTCCTCTGTCCCTCCATATCTCTCGCTCACAGTTCTAATTCTCTTTTTCTATAACATTCTCCACTCTTACTGCCTGGGGTTTCTCCCAGTTGCTGTCACTGTTTTTTTTTTATTTCTTTACATATTTGCTGATTTGTTTTTAGCCAGGTTAGTGACATGGCTCTAGGGATGGCAGTGTTGGTCTGTTGGTCCACTGCTTTGGTCCACACTGACATATCTCAACAGCTATTGGATGGATTTCCATGAAACTTGGTACAGATATGATTTGGACTATTGGATTAACTGGAATGAAATCTGGTAGAGAAACTCAAGTCCCCCTAAGGGTGAAATATAATAACTTTAGTGATCCCTTAGTGTTTCAACAAAAGTGAATGTATCCAAAATGAAAACTAATGACATTTACACCACCCTCAGCGGCATTTTGTGTTTAGTGCTAATTAGCAAATGTTTGCATGTAAACATTATACCTGCCAAACATCAGCATGTAAACATTACCACTGGGAGCATGCTGACATTAGCATTTAGCTCAAAGCATTGCTGTGCCTACACTAAGTACAGCCTCACAGAGCCTCTTGCCTTCACTGCCATATTTTGCTTTCCTAACCGTGTTTGTCCCTGTGTTCATTGGTGTGAGCACAGCTGTATTTTCTTGTATTTATTTATAACCTTTATTTAACCAGGCAAGTCAATAAGAACAAATCTTATTTACAATGGTGGCCCGGTAAAAGGCAAAGCCTCTTGAGGAAGGGGGATAGGGGCTTAAATAAGGTCTAATCAGGAATGTCATGATGGTTAGTTAGTTTTTTAAAGTGAATCACACCTGCACACTGCACGGCAGTAGCCTCTTTGGTTCCAATCAATGCACTGCTTGAGTAAGAACCCATATAAAGTATGTCTGTCCAGCAACAATGCACACCTCCAGGTACTTTGAACAGATATAGTAGGAAGAGAGTAGGAGGAACAGACATCTAAAAAAGGACGGAAAGATTGAACAGTCTCTACAAATGAAATTCTCAGTGTTACAGGGTTTGCATTACAGTGAACATTTCTCCACTGTTAAGTAAGAGGGGGTGAGTAAGCTTCCTCTTCTCTTCTTGTAATCAAAGAACAAATGCCAACACCTTCTTTTGAGGTATAATTAAATATTTATTGGCTTTGACTAATAAAGCTGTCCTCATTTTTATAGGGCGAACTACCCAAAAGTAGAGGCCTTTTGCACACGAGGTTGATGAATCATCCTGGCAAAAACTGACTGTGGTTGTGGTTGTCGAACATGCAGCTTGAAGCACATCAGGGGAGGAGAGGGCAGACCGTGGTGAGAGCCAAAAACAGAGACAAACAAGAGGGGATTTTTATAGCCATCAAATGGCGGACTTAAGCTGCTTGATGACCTGCTGGGATGTACAGGGGGCATGACGAGCAGCGGGCGCAAACAGAGATCTATAATGAACCTCTCTGTCACTCACCCACACACAGATTTCAGTGTATTACAACACTGGTGAGGACCTTTACTGGCTACATTCATTGAGTAACCACTAGCCTCAAACATCTCTCCCTCCAGCACAGTTCTAACTTGAATACCTTCCTTAAAAAACAGTTAAAAGCCCTCTGTTAGTTATCTGAAATGATAGGATATGCTAATCTGGGTAGAGAGAGAAAAGCATTAAAGACCTGGGGGAAAGTGAACAGCAGAACAAGGTTTTTGGCTGGGAAAGATAATTTAATTGATAAAGGATGTCAAAAACCCTTGGCCAATTCTCCTGCTTTGAATTTCTTTTATTACTTAGTCTGCACATGCCTTTAAAGGTCTGGGAAAAACAAGCAATTACACACAGCTTAACTCAGTGCGGTACAGTATCTCAGAGATGACCTTCGGGTTGGAGGAACGCAGGCATCTTTGCTATCTTTACATCAAGGGCCACGTTGGAAATACCTCATGGATTTAAGTGTGCCGTGTTTGACATTTTTTTGTAGATGTATGTGATGTCCTCCTCTTCCTTCTAATGTCAAAAAAACAACAACTAAAAAACAGAATCATACATTAACACACACATAATATCGACATCTCCCTACCCAGGGCTGCTTTTCTGACACACATCTATGGTGACACACACACACACACACGAGCAGGTGCATATGGCTCATTAGCCTATATCCCACAAGGATAAACGGTGCTCTCTGCATGCATCCAGTTAATCCCACAGAGCCTCAGTCATCAGTGGATCCTACGCCCTCCTACACCACCGTCACACAAACACACACACACTCATGTATACACACACCCGTCCTATCTTCCAGCCCTTCTCAGCATCTAAACTGATCCAGAAACCCAGAGGCCATCCAGTGACCCACTCCCAGCCTGAGCTAAACAGATGGACCCCTATTGATAATTTACTAATACACACCAACCATCTGCGCTACGATTCGAGTGTCATGACTGTGATCCTGCAGGTGTGTCATTGGGGTTGAATGGGTTATACACCAAAAGATGAGTAAGACATTCCATCATTTAAAGCTGCAGATTCTTCTCAAAACACATCTTTAAACTTGCTTTTATGCTTAATTTTTTCCTGTTACTGATTTTATTGCTTGCACGAGAGACTAGATAATATATTTATTCTTTCTGTGATATTGCATTTGCATGGCTGTTAGAGAACTTTGTAATCTTTTAAAGAGTGCAGTACAAATGTTTTATTATAACTATAATTCACTGTAACCCATAAACATGGGGAGATAAAACCACACCCATGACAAAAAAACTACCCACAGCGCTGTATATAAACTCATCCTCAGACCCTATTTTTCACTTGAAAGCTACTGCTGGTGACAAAAAAAACAAACAGAGACAACAAAACGTTAACAATATAATATGTCTGCAATACCTGCTACCTTTATGAATGTGAATTATTTCAGTGCTATAGTAACCTTTGAGGCGCTGTAGCCTGTGCTGTCACATTTTATTGTGAGCTGTTCCTGGTCTTTTGTCGTCTTCCTGTGCAGCGCTGAGGCAGTTTCCAGGTAAGCTAGGCATGACAGATGAATGTTTGACCTTATATTTGTTGTGTGCTTTTCTATTATACACAGTTGTATAAGGCTGAACTACCAACTGTTTGGGACCTCAGACTGCCCCCTCCCTCAAAGCTCAAAGTTCACTGTGCGGCAGTTGGTATGTGGTAATTTGATTCATATGTAACTTTGTATGGGAATATGGAAATAATACACCACTAAAGAACAATATAAAATAAATGAATGATAAGGAACTTAAGAGGGGGTCATTAAGGGTGTTAATAAGGACGCCCAGGGGCCTGTGGCATGTTAATCTGGCCATGGCAGTGTATACACACAGTAATATACTGTGGACCCCCCTGTCCTTGGTACTGTAAGGCTCTGAACTCTATGCCAGCGCCAGGGGACACAAACAGCCAATCACCTCCCTCCTCAATGGAAATCCCTGCTGGCTTCTGATTGGATGGGATTAAGGGGTGTGAAGGGAGGGGGGCTTGGAGGTGGTGGTGGTGGAGGGATAAGGCATGGTATCGCCAGGTGATATCTCCACGGCAACCGGGGCCCGGTGTGTACGTAAACACAAGTACAATGGAGACAATAAAGGAGGAAGGCTTTTATGCAAACACACACACACACACACACGCACACACACACACACACACATGCACACACACACTTACAAAGCCCCTTGAGACTGAAGCCAGACGTAGAAGTGTTGACTACATTATGCACCTGCCTCACCCTCTTTCCCCATCTCTTCATTATTTCCTGGCAGTATTGAGGATTTACAGTAAAAGTGTCACACTGTGAGGAAGTGATAAAAAAACAAATAATACAGGACGTCATGCAGCACAGAGGAAAAGAGAGACAGGAAGTTGGGCACCACAGGCAGTAAACTGCAGTCAAAAAGCATTATAGCCCAGATATTGTTTCCTTGCTGTGGTATCTGTACAATAAGCATAGATAGGGATGACCTGATAGCACCGTTAATGTGTTTTTGTGTGTCTTCATGTGCTGCTGCGAGCACACACATGGCTCCATACATCTCACCACTTCCTCTTCAATCATCCAGAGGGAGGAAGGTGATAAACGCACAGTAATCTCTGTCAAAGCAAACAAGATTAGGCCAAACCTCATCAACCCGCCATATGGCCAAAAACCTGACTTGAGAAAAGGAAAGGGGAGGGAACAAATGTGTTTAAGGTGTGCACGTGTGTTGGTTTTGTGAGAGCATGTGCTTGTCATCTAATGCAGTGAAGAGTAACACTTTCAAGAAAATGTGCTAATCAGGCAGGAGGTAAAATACCTCTCTTCAAGCCTCAGCCTAGATTAGTGTCAGCTTATTAATAAGAACAGTTACAAGAAACAAGGTGGGAAATAAGTGATTTTTTTTGTGCATAATCGACAGACAGCACACTTTAGATCATACGGAACAAATTTCCCTTTTACTGAGATTAAAGCGTCCGCATCATTGCTGTGTGTATGTGTGTGTGGTTGCTATTTTCCCTCTTAACCCTTAATCTTATCTGCAGTCTAATTAGATCAGTCTGTTTCACAGTGAAGTCGCGACAACCATACAAGCCATGCACAGGCATTCCTCATGATTTGCTCATCTTTGAGCATGTGAGAAAAAACATCTAATTTAACTTCCTCTCTCCTCGTGTCCTCGACTTGGTCCAGAAAAGTCCAACGCCTCTTAAATGTTGTTTATTTTCTCTGCTTTCGTCCACGAGTCTTAGAACAGTCACGTCTTTAAAAAGGCTGCAAGAGTCTGATCACTGTGTGCTTCTTAAAATTGACTTCTGAACAGTCACAAGTGTGCTTGCCTGAAGTCTAACAACGTCTGCAGTTCTATTTATATCTTATTAAAAAGACCATCCAAAGGCCATATGCACTGGAACAAGACTGTGTATTGAGAATCTAAGCATTCACTGTGTCCTGTTGACATCTCTGGTACAAAATCCAACCAAGAACTTGACATCACATTTACTGTACAAAAATTGCAATTGTCTATGTATTGTGAAAGTAACGGGTGTGTGAAAGACTTCATTTCACCTCTAATGGAAAGTTGGATTTTAGTGTTATAACAGGAAATGAAGAATCTATTGTAAAACAAGGTATGTATAATACAGCTGACACTGATGTTTCAGATTACCAGCATTAACTTTTTGGCCCTCATATGGCCAATTTCAGAATTCCCCAAAAACTAAGGCTTTCTAAGCTAAAACTTTTTGTTGGGGTTAATTGTAGGCTATGGCAATGAATTTGTCATGTAATGAGGTTAAAAGGTTTCTGCAGGATTCAACAGGTTCATTTTAAGACTTTTTAAAACCTTTTAAGACCACTATACAGTTTAAAACATATTTTACATAAGTACGAAGGAAAATCAGTAATTAGTTCCATTTTGGTTTTGTACTTGTTACAACGCGATCAATACAATTTTTTCACAAAAACACATTTAAAAGCAAAAGTGAAACACAACTTTATACAAGTATTGTTAATTTTTTTAAAGTAAAGAACCGTCAAAATCATATTTAAGACATTTTAAGGCCTAAAATTCTAACTACTGGATTGGAAGACCATGTTTTATTTTATCTTACGTAAGGCATGTTTAAAGAAAAGTCTCTTTACATCCGTATTGACAGTTGTTTACTTTTTCAGCAGCCACTTGACCCGCTAAATGTTTCTTATGAAATATTTGTGATGCCAGCATCAGCACCCCAGATCATTTCTACCTGCATTTGGCAGCCACCTGAAATAGATACAGAGATGCAGGCCAGACGGTGAAAGAGAGAGAGAGAGAGAGAGAGAGAGAGAGAGAGAGAGAGTGGCATACAGAGATTGAGATATATAAAGAGAGACACAGAAAGAACACCTGGACAGTGACTGCTCAAATGAACAAGCATACATTGGATGGGGGCAATGAGACTGAGGTTAGCCCATTTACTTGGAGGTCATACAACCTGTCTGTCTGCCTCACCTTTCTGAATGTTCCTGTCTACACCTGTCTGCACCAAACACTAGAAATGTTTCACCCCTGATAGATACATCCAGAGGAGAGCCGCCATAACTTATTGATTTTAAACTCTCATCCCCTCATGAAGCAGATCTTGCAGGCGCTGGTACACATTAAAGACATGAGTGCTTTGTACACTTTGTATTTCACTGACACTGTTTGCCTGTCCATTTTGTCTGTTGTTTGTCCCTTTGTCTGTATTCCTGTGTCCAAGCAAACACAGCTCTGAATCTGAATGCATTACAGAATACAGCTTGCTCCCTGCTGTATATCATCTTACTTACTCATATCATTCATGAAGTTTTCATAAGGAATCCCCAAAGGTGTCCCCTGTGTGACAGCAATGGGTGATTTACGTACACATTCAGGGCCTTCACTTGAGAATTTATGACTGAGGTAGGAGCAGTGCCAGCAGTGTGGAAGCGTGACATCAGAACCAGATGGGAATCTAGCATAGATCAATCCACTATATATTGGAATCAAATGGGCTAAATGAATGTCAGTTGACACAAGAGAGTTTTTCATTGACACCTGAGGTTTGTTCCTGGAAACCAAGAGCTGGTTGTGAAGTGGTTTTGTGTGCATGACTCTTTATCTGCCAGTGTGTGGACATACGTGTGTCTTCAGTGTTATACAGTCACAGATGTTATCAGCTTATTGACAGTTTATCCAAAAACGGACAAAATGTTGGAGAATCAGTTTGGTGAGCCTCCGACTCGGTGTATTATGACCAAAACAGCAGTGTTTACTCACCAATATGGCAAAACAGGTTCAGTAAATATTGATGACATAGCTCAAGGCCTTATTGAGGCTAGAAAGGGTCAGTGCACCCGCACCAACACGGGGTGATTCTTATAAACAGGCTATAAAAGAATCCTTTAATACATTTTATAATGATCGCAGAAGGATACAATACCAACATCCCCAAAAAAACAAAAATAAAAATGAAGGACAGTATGACGTCAGGACCAACTCCTCAGTTCACTGTAACTCTTAAACTATAAGTAATTACTGCGGATGACAATGTGTCCCTATAATGCCATTATAATGTCATAATATTGTTGTGTGTTATTTTGTGAAGAGTTCGTCCTCCCTGTGTCCCCATCTGCACTCAGCCTGCAGGAACAGTGTGTTCAGGGTGACTCAAAGTCAGCAGAAGTGTCTCTATGTCTCTCTCTATGTCTGCTACCCCAGTGGTTTCCATACCAAGGTTCAAAGAGCCTCAGGTGTCTTCCAAGGGTCCCAATTAGAGTCATTTTCACTAATAATGACATTTACTTATTCCATGCTGTAATATAGTAATCCAATTCTCATTATTAACAAAAACCCTTCTTAGATGAGAGATATCCCTCATAAAATCTGTGTCTACTATGGTTACCTGGCCATTACGCACACCCAATTACTTAGATTACCTCGGGGAGGTGGCACGATGTAGGTGCCTGCCATGCTCCAGCCTTGCGAGGATGTGGCCCCCGTGTCTTGCGCCATAGTACAACGTAATTGGTCGAGGCGATGATGAATGCAATGCCGCATTTTCTAGCGTAGTAAAGGAGCGAGCGGGTCGACTCGAGCACGGGCCATGAGCAGACACGGACGGGATCAAGACACGGGCAAACACCTACCTTTTGATTCGCAGTCAGCGCAGAATTTATTCTCCTCCAGCGCCAGCAAAGAGTTGAGGACAGTCTGGTATCTGTCAACGTCTTTCACAGATTTCCCCGTCATCATTGCACTGGTCCACCTCCTCCACACAGCCCGTACGGTCCGTGCCGGCTACACTCAAACAGCCTCTGATTTCTGAGCCAAATCAAAGTGTGCAGAGCCGCTGCGCTCCGTTCCTCTTCCTCCTCGATGTTCAAGCACAGCGAGTTTGTTTTCCCAACGATGGGATGATTGCCTTTCAGCCAACCAGCAAATACCCTAATCACAACGTAACGTGGAAGGGAAGCACCATGTGACAGCGATGATGAAAATGTATTGTAATGTAGACTTTAAAGCGCATCTGTAACCTCCCACTGACTGGTACT